TATCATCGCTATCCTAGAGTTGCCAAATTCTACATTTTAAAGGACAGTGTTAGCCCAATGAGCTCCCTTCCCATAGCTTAGTATGTTCCTTCCCCTCTCCACAGCTTAGCATGCTCCCTTCCTAGGCAACACTAGGCCCATTTAGTAAAGGCAGTAAATAATCAGCCTCCAACCCCCTTTACCTTAGGATAGCACTCCTTTGGGGCAGCTACCGCCATATAAGGCAGCAAGAGCCCCTTAGAGTGACCTTCAGGTCTGGGCAGCTGCAGGACCTCTTATCTACTATTTGGGCAGCAGCCATAAACCCTATTCTGCCATGATGAAGCCCCTGGTCCTCATATCCATGCCAGGTTCTCTACCTCCTAGCCCCTTCTAGACCCTACTAAACCTCCTAGATTATATAGGTCACCACAGACAGTAGCCAGAGCTTCTTCTCACTGCTCCCTTGTGAGAAGGAGTCTTGCCAGCCCCTTTCCTGGCAATAAACCTTTCTTTGTTCTCTGTACCTAGATGTCTGTGTGGTTTTCTGGCAAAGTCCAAATAATCTAACAGAGAAGGTAGTTTTCAATAGAGTACACCGTTTAGATCTCTCAAGCCTTGTAACTTAGCATTTAAATGGATGGAAGGTTAACTGCTTTGGGAGTTGCTTCCTAGTTCCATCTTCTGTGCCTGGCACTTTTAATATTTATTAAAAATAATATAACTTTTCTATCTCTACACTTATCTCTCCTGCTTCAAAACTCCAGCATATTCAAAAGCTGGCTAGGTGCTGTCATTCATTGATAAGTTCTAAGTTAGTTACTGAAGGAAGTCTCAAGTTCTCAGGCATGTATTTCTAGATGTATTTTCCCATGGAAGATGAGTAGATCTACATGGCATATAGGTCATAAACAATTACTTCAGTTTTAAAAATCAATCTGATTCTTCCCAGTTTGAAACAGAGCTGAACACAACACCTCAGCGTGGTGCTCATGTGCACCTAACATTTCTCTTAATTATGAACCCCGTTGCAAAAAAGAAAGAAAGAACCAAGAGTGTCAAAACCTCTGCAAACAGTATGTAACTACAATTGAGTAACATTCATGTTCCATGTTCATATGGTAACTTCTTTATGGACTAACACTGACTTACTGACTTCTTACTTCTACTTCTGGTAGAAATATAAAAGTATGATTTTTCAATGAGTTTATTTGAGCCCTAAAGGTATGTTGACTCATAGCAAACTTTTAAATAAACAGTACATGACAGACAGAATTTTCTATGATCTGATATGCAAATATTGAAGAGTGCAACAACACTGGGCTGCCTTGGAAGCTGAGAACTGGGTTGCAAAATCTGATTCTAACTGTCACTAATTATCAGATTGTCCTGGGGCCAGTTGATGAACCTTTCATGTCCCCATTTCCTCATTATCCAATAAGTATAATGATATTTGCCAAACTACCTTTGCAGTAATGATGTGAAGATTAAAATTAAGTGACGGATTGTTAAATTGAAAGTTTTATATGCATAAGGTTCATTATTATGTTTTTGGAAATATTACTTTTTATTTCTTTTTCACCAGCTGGGGGAAGGAGAGAGACATAAAGAAAGAAAAAAGAAAGGAAGGAAGGAATGAAGGAATGAAGGGAGGAAGGGAGGGAAGGAAGAAAAAAAGAAAAGAAAGAAAAAAGATGAGAAAGGGAACTTTTTAGCCATTTAAGAAAAGATAATCAAAATTTTATTTTCTGCGATGATCATGTCATTTATTGATGGTAATTGTAGTATATGTAGTTGTGTGTGTGTATGTGTGTGTGTGTGTGTGTGTGTGTGTATGTGTGTGTGTGTGTGAGTGTGTATGTATGTGTAGTAGAAAGGGAAATGGACTTTGGTTGTGCATTTACTACATAAAACTGTATTGCTAAAAAATTAAAGAGATTGGGCTGGGAAGGTGGCTCAGTGGTAGAGCGCTTGCCTTGCATGCATGAGGCCCTGGGTTCAATTCCTCAGTACCACATAAGCAAAAAGAAAGAAGCCGGAAGTGGTGCTGTGGCTCAAGTGGTAGAGCACTAGCCTTGAGCTGAAGAGCTGAGGGACAGCGCCCAGGCCCAGAGTTCAGGCTCCATGACCGTACCCCAAAAAAAAAAAAAAATTAAAGTGATAATTGTCTCTTCCAGATAGATGATTGCTTATTTTTTGCTAGTTTCCATGGGATAAAAAGCTTGAATTGTAAGTTACATTGAAAAAACGAACCCATATTCATCTCAAGGCTTAATAAAAATCTTATGACCTATCTGAATATTTAGAGCTGAAAAATAATGGAGTTTGGTTTGGTTTCAAAATTATTTCTTGCCCTAAAATAATACTTGGAACCTAGCTTATTATAATTTTTCATTGTGTTTAAAACTACAAATCTTCTGATGATATAATATAACCTTACTAGAAAAGATTTTTTATTATGGTATACATTTTTAAGCACTTCCTCTTCCAATTTATTTTCTTGTTTATTCTTGAATTTAAAGGTTGCTGTTCTGGTGAAAATGTAATGGCTACATTAAAAGTTTGATATATTTTTAAATTAACAATTAGCCATTTTAAGATGGCTGTATTTTACTTTGGCAATACAGCCAAGTTTCAACATACACTAATTCTTGTGTGATCAGAGACTATTCACATATACTAATGATGCTCACAATTGTGACTTTTCCCCCATTATATTAAGCAATTCTTTTTATTGTACTGTCATCACTGAATTAGAAATGATGGACATAATTTGCATTGAAAATTCACATTTTGGGGCTGGGAAGGTGGCTCAGTGGTAGAGTGCTTGCCTTGCATGCCTGAGGCCCTGGGTTCGATTCCTCAGCACCACATAAGCAAAAAGAAAAAAGCCAGAAGTGGTGCTGTGGCTCAAGTGGTAGAGTGTTAGCCTTGACCTGAAGAGCTGTGGGACAGTGCCAGGCCCAGAGTTCAGGCCCCATGACCGGACCCCCCCCCAAAAAAAGAAAGAAAATTCACTTTTTGTCTACGTTTGAGCATCTGATAGTTGCTTGATCTTGAGCAGCTGTCAGAATCACCTGGAGGATCTGTCCAGAAGAGATTGCTTGGTTCACACTCAAGGTTTCTAGCCAACCCTGAGAAGTTGTGTTGTTCATAAGCTCCTGATGATGCTAGTCCTAAAGTTGAGGGACCACAGTGGGTGTGAGATCCTCTGGTCTAGTAGAAGGCAAACTTCAGGGCAGTAAAACCCTGGGCCCTGACAATGGGCTCAAGTTGTCTACCCTAGGTATATTTTTGTGCTGGTACTAGGGCTTGAATTCCGTCTTAAATACTTGCTAGACTTTCTCACTCAAGGCTGGCACTTGAGCTGTATTGCAACTTATGGAGTTTTTGTTGTCGTTGTTTCTTAACTGGAAGAAACAGCCCATCAACTTTTCTGCCGAGAAGTGATTTCAAACATCAGTCCTCAGATCTCAGCCTCCTGAGTAGGTAGGAATACAGCCACCCACAGTGGCTCCACTATGGATTTAATGGGATATGATGTATAAACTTGAGAAATTTTATTTTACATGTTAATTATGGATATGTTGAGTAAAATAATGCATCATGAGTGCTTTGAATACCTCACTGAAGCATCACAAACTATAGTTGTGGTAATTAGAATGGTAATAGTGAAAACTAGTGGTTTGATAATAACAGTAGTGGTTACATAATAGAAAAGAATATGGTAACATCTCCCTTCATCCATGGCTTTAACTTTTGGGACTTTCATTATCATGGTGATTACTATAGTCTGAAAATGTTACATAGAAAAATGCCAAAAATAACTATATAACCCTAATCTATAGCAATATATAAGCTTTGAATGGAATTATACACGATGAAATCTCACTCTGTCCTGACATGGCTGTGAAATACCTTTTGATCCATGTATCCATGTTTTATGACCTACCCTCCTGTTTAGTTACTTAAAAGCCAGTCCAATTATCAACTCAAGTGTTGTCATATGGCAGTGTTCATTTTCAGTAACTCCAATGTTATTTAATATTGTCCTCTGAGTGTAAAAATAGAGATGCTGGCAACTCAGACACCCCAGAAAATCTGTAGAAGTAAAGATTCACAATGTGAAAAAATATATACATATATATGAGAAACTTGGTTAAATTTGTAGTGCTAATGAGTCTTCAGTCCATGAAATTATGTAAAATGGGAAACAAGTACATGCTGGTTTAGTCACTGCACCTCAGCATGCAAAAAAAAATAGTGCACAATATGTGCTTAGTTAAGACGGAAAAGGCCTTAAATTATGTCACTTGGTACTCTCTGTGGTTTGTGCCATCCATTAGTGCTCTTGGGCTAGATCACCAGTGGATAAGAGTTGGGGCTAATGTATCCATATTTAGCCTTGTTTCATTGCAATAAAAATTGATTCCTCATTTGTAAAGAAGGCTAGACAGAAACCTTGGCTTTTAAAAAATGCCATTATTTCTATGAGTCACATTTGAACAGGAAGAGAGACTTTAGTAAAAAAGAACTCATAGCCAGGAGCCAATGCCTCACACCTGTAATCCGAGTTACTCAGGAGGCTGAGGTCTGCCAGCCTGGGCAAGAAACTCTTATCTCCAATTAACCACTGGAAAACTGGAAGAGGAGCCATTGTTCAAAGTGGTACAATGCTAGTCTTGAGTGAAAAAGCTCAAGGATAGTGCCCAGGCCCTGAGTTCAAGTCCCACAACTGACAAAAAGAAAAGAAGTCATTACCAGGTGTGGTTGTACATAACTGTAATCCCAGCACTCGGGAGGCTGCAGCAGGAGGATTGCAAGTTCTGGACTAGCCTGGTCTACATAAAAGACTGTCTTAAAGAAGACAAAGCAAGAAATAATTTCTAGTTTAAGGCACTTTCAAGAGTGTGTTAGAGATTGGAGTCTTGATTACAATTTAAGTAGAAATATCTCTGCTTGTATAACATGTCTCAACATTCAGAACTTACTGAGGGCATTTATTTCTTTCCTTCCCTTAGCAACAAGAGCAAGACCCAACAAATCTCTACATCTCAAACCTCCCCATTTCTATGGATGAGCAGGAGCTTGAGAATATGCTGAAACCCTTTGGACATGTCATTTCCACAAGAATCCTTAGAGATGCTAATGGGGTCAGCAGAGGAGTCGGTTTTGCCAGGTAAAATTCCTTCTCTCAGTATCACCTGTGTGTAATCTCTCTTCCCTCCTTCTTCCTTCTAAATTCCATTCCTTTCTAATACTAGAGTCCAAAGCAATAGACTATGCAAAATAAAATGAAATAAAGGTAACTTATCAAATGTGTTATCTCACCTATCTTTATTGAAGCAAAGAATCCAGTAGAATTAGAAACACACTGTGCTTGCTAAAATGCATCTGTAGATTGTGGGTAAGAGCTTCTAATCACAACAATATGCATGCTCAGGTCCCAGGCCTCTCTATGGTTGGAGAGAAAAAGATCAGTGCCAATTCCAGCCAGGAATATTAATTGCCCAAGAACCCATGCAGTGACTTCGAAAGAACAGAGATGATAGTTTCTCAGTAAGAAAAGAGAGGAAAGATTTGGAAAAGCATAATGTTAGTTGCCAAAAATCCCAGAGATACAAGGAGAGGTCAAGGAGTTGTTAGTCTGTAAGAAGCTCTAGCTGTGACTTTTTTGTTGTTATTTTGGGCAGAATGAGAAAAATGTATTTCTTTCATTTTTGGGAAAGAAAGTTTTTTTAACTTAAGGCGATGTTTCCAAAAGAGGATCTTGGATCTTAGCCAGGAATGAAGTTAGAATGGTTTTACCTACTGGAATTCCATGAAAAACCAAGCTAAAGAAACCACAGAAAAAAAGAAACTTCCCAATCACATGGGAAATTAATAAATCCATGTCTCCCCAGCTTTCTGCAAACCTGTGTGTCCCCAGCTAACTTAATTAGCATAGATAGAAGGATTTTAGGAGTCATCTGAAGTCACGGCAGTGAAGTCAGATGTATCTGGCCAGAATATACCCTACCATCATTTGGAACCCTGCTCTCTCGTGACCCAAGAGCCTTTTTAGAAGAGAACAAATAGAAGATCAATATTAACTGGTATGACTTTCTTAAGGTCATGAACTATGCCTTGAAGTTCTTTATATTCTTTGTAATATTCAGTACAGAGTAGACCAGTAGACATATGCAAAGTACATGACTGATGGTTAGAATAAAAATAAACAAAATTAAGAAAACCTGGCTCAAATGTGTACATGAGTCATTTGCTTTCAGGATATTGACAAATGTTGACTTTCAGTCAAGGTAGAGAATGACACTCAGATGTCTGAATGATACCATGCACCCACTCCTGGTTAGAGATAACCCCACTTTCAGAAAGTATACGGCGTTCATTGGAATAGCTGACATGTTTATTCCATACAATAAGTCTGTGCAAATAGATTCTTCAAAAATCATTTTAATGAATTTCTCCTTTATTGGCACCTCTTTTGGCAAATAAATCTATTTCAAATTCACCAGAAGAACACATTTTCTAAGTTCTGGGTTTTGGTGGCATTTTGTTTGCTTGCTTTTTAGTTTTATGCAATAGATTATTGTACTAGGGTTGTGCAGACTAGGTGGCTTAAATAACAAAAAACTAAATTATTGGTGGCTGTAGGATGGAAGTCAGGGATGAAGGTATAATTGTGGTTGTTTCTTGTGATGCTTGCTCTTTGTTTGTCGGTCCTATCTTCTCTTTTAGTCTCCATGTAGCCTTTTGTACAATTCTTATCCTGATCTATTCCTCTAATGGACACATTGAGTAAAGGGGGTTCATTCTAACTTAATTACCTCTTTAAACATTTTATCTCTAAGTTAATCCTGTCCTCAGGGACTAGGAGTTAGGACTATAACAAATGAGCTTGTTACAATTCAGGTTGTAACACAATGTTTGAGCTATTTGCTTCTCCCACATTGATCTTTGATATATGCATAGGATTTAGTTAAAAGGGATCATAACTTTAAAAAACTACAAAGCCAAATAACACACACTGCATGATCAATTTTTAATTGTGACTAATGATGTCATGAAAGAGCAAACTGTACAAGCAGTTTTTAGGAACTCGGGAAAAGTAATACTTATTGATTTACTACTGTTATTATTTACTGCTTTATTGTATATTTAGTTGTTTATTGGCTAGTACCAAGCTTTGTACTCATAGCCTTGAATTTCCGCAGCTTGCTTGCTAGACTGGTTTTTTATCACGTGAACTAGACTGCAGGTTGGATTTTTGCTAATTATTGTGGAAATGAAGTCTCATGGACTTTTTGCCTGAGCTTGCTTCAAAATGCAGTATTCTGGGTCTCAGTTTCCTGTATAGGTATATTAGGATTACAAGCATCAGACACCAGTGGCTGACTAGGAAAGGTGGCATTTTATTTTATTGTTTTTGTGTAGTTGATATACAGAGGGGTTTCAGTTACATGAATCAGGTACAATCAACACAATTCTTTTTGGACCATTTTCCCCTCCATCACTCTCTTCCACCCTTTCCCTCTCATCCCCACCCATAAGATATCCAGTTCATTTTCAACATAATGTCTGGTGGGTATCAGTATTATAATTTCTCATCCTTATTCTGCCATCCATTGCCCTCCCAAATACAAACAAGGTAACAAACAAGACAAGAGGAAAAGAAAACAAAAGCAGCAACAACGGCAACTAAAGGGTGTCTCTTGTTTCCTTTTTTTGGAGTTCACTTCATAGAATATTATTTTATATCATCATCTGTCCATAGCTATTGAGCCTCTGTCCACCACTCCTATGTGTAGCCTCCTCTGGCTTCTATACATTAATGACTAGGGTCATATATAATTTACCATGATCCAATTTTATTTATTTGTTTTGGTCATTCAGTATGTTTACTGTAGATTTATAGGCACATTGCAGTTAGCACAAATGAGGGAAAACATGCAGCCTATGTTTCTTTGGTTCTGTCTTACTTTGCTTAATATGATATTTTCCAGGTTTTTTCTATTTCCTAAAAATGGTACAATATCATTTTGTCTGATGAGTGGAATTCCATTACATAAATCACGTTTTCTTGATCCATTTGTCCACTGACTATGGGAAACAATGCTGCAATAAACATGGTCATGCTGGTGGCCTTTGTTTGGCCTGGTTTGTGATTCATTGGCTAAATGCCCACGAGTGGAATTGCTGGATCATAGGAAAACTCTATGTTTAGTCTAATTGGAGTGAGGTGGATTGTTTTGATTTACATTTCTTTTATGGCCAGAGATGTTGAGAACTTCTTCATGTGTCTATTAGCCATTCTTTTTCCTTCATCTGAGAATCTCTCTTTATTTAGGTCTTTATCCCATTTATTGATTGGATTGTTGTGTTTTTGAGGGTTTATTTTAAGGAGGTTTAATTTTTTGAGCTGTAAGTATATACTGGATATGAGGCCCATGCTGATGTATAGCTAGTGGAGTCCAAAGAACATTTCTTAATATAGTAAAGGCTGTATATGACAAACCTACAGCCAGCATTGGACTTAATGGGAAAAGTTAAAACCATTCCCTTTAAAATCAGGAACAAGACAAGAATGCTCACCCTCTCCACTCCTCTTCAACATAGTGCTAGAATTCCTAGCAAGAGCAATAAAGCAAGAGAAGCTCATAAAGTTGATCCAAATAGGGAAAGAAGAAGTGAATCTATCCCTCTTTGCTGATGACATGATCCTGTATTTAAAGAACTCTATAGATTCCGCACCTAAGCTACTTGAGTTGATTTGAAATTTTGGAAAAGTAGCAGGTTATAAAATCAACCCACAAAAATCAGTAGCTTTCTTGTGTGCCAACAATGAGAAGAATGATGCTGAAATCAGGATAGCAACTCCATTTGTAATAGCCTCAAAAAAATACTTAGGAATTAACCAAAGACACAAAAGACTTGTATTGTGAAAACTGTAAAACTTTGAAAAAAGAAATTGAAGCACACCTAAGAAAATGACAAAACATCCCATAATCCTGTTGGAAAGAATTAACATAGTAAAAATGATAATTCTGCCTAGAGCAATATATGAATTCAATGCAGTACTCATCAAACCTCCAACAACTTTCTTCAAAGAAATAGAGAAATCAATCCAAAAATGCATATGAAATAATAAAAGACCCAGAATAGCAAAGACAATCCTTAGCAGGAACTGCAGCATTAGATCAATATTGATACCAAACTTCAAGCTTTATTACAAAGCAATAGTAATAAAAACAGCTTGGTACTGGCACAGAGTAGGCCTGAGGACCAATGGATCAGAATAAGAGACCCAGAAATAAGCACACAAATATAAAACCATCTAATATTTGATAAGGGAACCAAAAACACAGGTTGGAAGAAAGACAACCTCTTCAACAAGTGGTGCCAGCAAAATTGGCTATCTACATGCAGAAAACTGAAGGTAGATACCCATATATCACCTTATACTAGAATCAACTCTAAATGGATCAAAGACCTCAATGTGAAGCCAGATACTGGGAAAATATCACAGGAAGAGATATGGAAACCCTAAGCCTTCTAGACAAGGAGTGAAACTTCCTAAACAAGGATCCAGAATTCACAACAAATCAAAGAAAATCTGGATGCATGGGATTATATCAAATTGAAGAGCGTCTGCCTAACAAAGGACATAAAAAGCAAGACAATTAGAAAGCCCACTGAATGGGAAAAAGGTAACATTTTAAATTGGTATTTTATGCCTACTTTGGATGTAGCCTTCTTCCTATTCCCAATAAATTTCTCATGTAGACGTAATAGTGAATCTTTAAAATTTCAAGTGTGATCATGTCATTATCCTGCTTACATACCTCCAATGTGGCCTGAGTGTTTTCCATTGCTGGCTTCAGAAGCATTGATGCTTCTGGAGCATCATTTTCCTTCCTGTCTTGGCTTTTCCTGCATTGTGATCTGGGCACATACTGCCCTTGCCTGGCTTTCTCTCTCTGACGATTTCCCTGCCTTTTGCCCACTCAGCATTCAGGTGTTGACTAGAGCATATCTCTTTAAAGAGTCCTTCCCTGACCTCTATCCAGCTCATCTGCAGATATATTGTTACACATACTATAAAAGTTTTATCTTTTTCCAATAAAACTTAGCACAATTGCATTGAATTTATTTACCTTCTGTCTTCCTCCATTGAGTTGC